ATGCCAGCTATTTCGTAGAATTGTTATGTAATTTATAATAGGTCGTCATTATTAGTTGGAAAATGAATGTGCTCTTTTGCCCTAGAACAAATCACTCTTCCAATCGCTCTACTGGTTGAAGTTTTTGAAATTCCATGGACATCACCAACAGTGGTTAAACAGCTGCCCAACGCTAAAAAGTGTAGAGTTGCTAAAACCTTAAAGAAATATAAAACGATATTTTCAAAGAACTTTTTTTTATCACACATATAAGATGCAAATACAAACACAAATATACCAATTACACATTAAACACAGAAGAGTTCCAATATAGGACTAGACCTATAGCATTGGCTACATTACATAGACAACATTACAGTAATAATAAATAATATCCAAGACAGTAGGCATGACAAATAATCCAAAAGACATGTGTCTCAAAAAACGTCCCCAAGTTTGACGGTAAATATCTCAGCTGAATCGATCCCTTTCAAAATTCTCACAGATTTACTTCAACATGTCCTTGTCACAATTCAATATCAGAGCAAATTACACATTACAGCCTGTGTCCATTGTGCCTTCACCACATCGACCACCAATATTCACCATTTTCCATTTTCCATAAGCTCTCAAGAATCTCATCTAAACCCTGTCGTAAGTTTAAGAAAAACTTACGAACTGTTTTTGCGTAAGTTTTTTTATTGAAACGGAAAATTTTGTTCTTTTCTTTCGTAAGATAAACTTACGCAAATTTAAGCGTAAGAATGTTAGTGGAACGGGGCCCTGCGTCCAAACTAAACCTTGCCAATCTTCTAGAATCAATAGACAATAACACATGATCATAGCCTGAGTTATCATCAACCTTAGATAGATAGGAATTTTCCACAATTTTCGGTACGGAAATGAAAATAGGGTGTTTCTCATCCACAGATTTTAGAATCTAAGATCTAGACAAAACCTGGGTTTATTTGGTTCTATAGTCAGGGTTGATATAAGGTAAGGTTTACTTGCGTTATCAACAACTGATCCAGTTTTAAGTCGATTTCTTATTTCAGCATCTATAAAAGCACAGAGGTCAACGCAATAATGAGAATTCTTAAAGAATTTAGACGGGGTAAAATCGCTAGAATATCTAATGCCATTTTATAATATCCAAAATATCTATGTTTTCAGAGGTATTACCTTGGGCGATCCTTTTTCATTCAGATGGAAAATTGTGCATATTCCCCGCTTTAAAATCATCAGTACTCCTAACGGTATAGAATGCAAGCCTTCCCTTATCACTTCCTCTGTGGATGGGTGATTAGCAAATACCAATGGCTTTCCATTATATGACAAATATATGAAACAGATCCTTGGTCTACAATTACACAAATTATACATTGTAATATACACATTCAACCTTATTTTTTGCTTGGACCAAATCTTGCAATATGTTCATTTTGGTTGCAATTGTAACCCCTCATTCCATGACCTCGTCTTTGACCATTATCAAACCATGGAGGGGTGGACAGAAATATTCTTAGCTCCTGAAAAAGAGCGAACATATTTCGGTAAAACTCCCAACCATAGGATGATATTTATTATGATTGTAACGTTGCAAAACAAAAGATGATAGGCCTTTCTACCACGTTGCTCCAGAGTTATCAACCTGCAAAAACACATCGGGTTTGAAAACAGAAATTCTACTATCGAATTCTTTCACTTGATGTAGGGGCGCTATCATCCGAGTCATAATCTATCGCTTTCTATTGCTTCTCCAGTGCCTTTTTCATATCCTCCAGCTGCTACTCAATAATACTCTGAAAAGTAAACAGGTTAAAATACCGTCAAGATCAGTCCATCCACTTAAATCTGCACTCATCATCGACATTCCCTTTGTTTCAACGTTTACTCCATTTTTGGCCACTGACAGTGCTGAAGAATTGTTAGCTACTAAAGTTTAGACACAAATATACTTGCTTAGCATTTAGATATTTTTTTCTGACACACAAACAGTTTCAACGTCATGGAGCAAGAACCTCCTCTCGCCCCGTGCGTAGTTTCCACTTCTAACAAACCAGCACTTTGCAAATGTTTTTTAAGAAGACTATTCATGGCCGAAGACGAGACCGGATCTTTCTCGGGCAAATAGTTAACTGTTCAGTTTTCAATATTGCAAGATCTCCAGCCTTATCCTCCGAAAAGCCAATAAATCTAAAAAAAAAATGCATCGTCTGTGTCCAACAAATACCTATTCTTACTAGTTAGTACCGGGTTAGCCAAATTATACCGAATATATCTAGATAGACTTAATATATTTTCTAAAAACAAAGACGTGGTTTGTTTGCTTGAGACCATTGTCAAATTCTGCTCTATTTTTCTGACGATTTATAATCAAAGATGCCATAAAAATGGTCCTTTAACTGTCCAATCAAACTACCAAAGGAAGACGCTGCTCGACGAAGAGAGCAACTACATTCCCCAGCTAAAGAAGAAGCTGATATGGAATCGATGGTTTGTTATGGACACATAGTGGGGAAAATGACTTGAGTTCTAATTGTCCTTCTGAATATTTTATCCTTTAACTGTCCAATCAAACTACCCAAGGAAGACGCTGCTCGACGAAGAGAGCAACTACATTCCCCAGCGGAAGAAGAAGTTGATATGGAATCGATGGTTTGTTATGGACACATAGTGGAGAAAATGACTTGAGTTCTAATTGTCCTTCTGAATATTTTATTTTTTACATCCGATCATATCATGTAACTGAACTATTCTTCTCTTCAATTTCTCTCTGTCAAAAACACCTGACTCCTACAAGAAACAAGTAACCCTAAGGATTAACACAATCCGTTTGCCTTGTCCGTAAGCACTCAATCACTCTAAATTTATTATTTATTACTTTTTTTATTTTTTTATTTATTTTTTTTGACCGAATATAGCAGCCCTGAAATTTTTTTCTCTATGACTAGAGTTTCCAGCTCAAAAAACTACTTTTGTATTGATCATCTCCTAATTATATTTCTCTTAAAAAAATCCAAACAAAACAACAAGCTAACTTAAGTTACAGCCAATATCTCAACTTTTTTTGCTCATTTTCATGAATTTCAGTGATCGACCAACTTTTTTCAACAACAATCCTCTTAAAATTCTCAACTCTATACCCTATAACCGAGCATTACCTTCCCTTTCTCTATCACTATATCTCATATCTATTTTTTCTTTTTTTTCATCGACCACCACTTCACTTCTTATTGACCCGTATTAAACTAAGCCCACTACACTTCGTTTGAAGAGATAAGAATACATTCTTTCCAAGTAAATATTCCAAAGTAAGATTTGATTTTCTCCCGGCTTTAACTCTTTGCCGAAAATCTTACTCAATTCTCTACTGTCCATATAAATCAAATATGTAGGCCTAATGGCACACTGCTTTCATTTTGTTTTCGTTCGCAAAGAAAGAATTAAAACGAGTGATATGGTTTGGTTGACCTCAATTTTACTACCAGACTGCAGGGGCCATTTTGATTCGACAATATTTAACTATGAATATGTAATTTTTATCACCTGTATTACCACGGTCTTGAGGAAGGATGACTAACGAGGGTGTGGTTTGAACACGATGACCAAAATGACGTTTGGATTTCAGGTTTCATTTTGCTGTTCGGATAGCCTACATGGTTTGTTTAATGAGATTGGCAGTCGTGTAAAACAGTGCCATCCTACTATAATACATACGTTGAATGCGGTCGAACTACTATTTTTTTCTCTACTCGACTCGAATGAGTCGCCATTTTTGATTTTATAATCTCGGTTAGCGAATTCTACTTCACACTATTGCTACGTTACTCCGGAAACCATGTGAGATAAGGCATGCGCAGTAGATGTCAGTTTTCGGCGTGCTTCGCTATAGAACACAAAATCTTTTATCTCATAAATTTTTATCGAAATAATCCTTTGATATTTGTTATAAAATAGACTCTATTTTATAATAAGTCGTTTGGTATGTGAGTTAGAAACTTTCGCTCCAGGTTATAACACAATTTCACGTCCTTTTATAAACTTTTTTACGTTTTTTGGACATACGGCCAATATTGCTGACAAAGTTCTACTCCAGCAATGGCGAGTTTACGCAAGTCACATACAGCCGTCTCGGCTGATGTGCTTTCTACTACAGAGGAAGACAAACTTTTAGAACTTGATTTCTCAAAATATTGAGAAGATGTGCACTGCCTTTACATCGTTGAATGCTGTACAAGGCCTTCCTAATAATCAGATTCCTGTTACCAGGAAACGCACACATGATGGGATTACTAAACCATGTTACACAATGTATCATTAGGATGGATAAGGGCAGGTGCTAATAGTTTACATTGAAAGCCAATTAATACCTTGATCAAACTTCTATTGTCTAAAGTTATTAACACCTTGCGGCCCTGACACTTATCCCTCTTTGTTCTAAGCGCAGCTAAATTAACTTATACAAACAAGATTATACTTTGTGTTTCTGGGACAAGGACATGTCGGCGTTCTCATTGTCAGAGACCTAGCCAATCAACAACCAACATGCAAGAAGTCCTATCCGCCAATCAGATTTCTAGATTAGGCTTTAACAAATCAGAAATGAGGATTATCCTAATGCTGAAATATTTATATTTGGTTTTAACCAATCAGAAAGAAGGATGATCCTCAGGCTGAAAGAGACCGGCAAAAGATCACGTAGATGATCAGTTCCCAAATTGACAGCTAGGAAGGTGGTTTGTCCTCTTGACCACGTGACCAAGATAACCTAGATGTTGTAACCTATGAGTTAGATGTTGTAACCTATTAGTTAGCTGTTGTAACCTGTAGACAGATGACCAAGAATAAATGTTATGAAACAACCATAGTCTTATGTGTTACATATGACTAATTGATGCCCGTGACCAGTCTCACAACGTGAATGCGATGTAAATCCTACAAGAAAATTGAGTGGTGGACAATCCAATTACTTTCAGACTTGAAATACGAGGTACGAAATTCTTCTTTTGTTCTGTATCATGGCTACGGAGTCCGATATTAGTACGTTATTCCAAAATTTAACTGGGGAATTGATAGGTTTGTCCACTACTTTAAAACATCATGGCGTTTCCCACCTCGTAGACCATTTTGCCGGTGATCCAAAACATTATTCCGATTGGATAAAAAGCATCCAAAAGTATGCATTATTGGCTGATATACCAGACGCTAAAATTAAATATATAGCTTATCAAACAAGTTCTAGTACAGTCAGCGATTTTTTGGCTAGATATTTACCAGAACACGCCCATAGTTCTTGGGGACAAGTAAAAAGGGAATTAGCAACGCGCTTTGATACCATAACAGATGCTCAACATGCCCTTGTTATATTACAAACTGCTAGAGTGAGGAAAATGTGCAAATCTTTGCCGAACGGTTATTAACTTTAGCTTCGAAAGCCTATTCGTCTTCTGAAATAGACCTCGTCCCTGTCCAACGCCAGCTTATTACAATATTTATAAACGGACTCAGTAAAGATTATCTCAAACTTAAATTACTTAGAGAAAACCCAGCAACTCTTCAGACAGCCGTTGTTAGCGCTATGGGAGAACAAAATATTCGGTCTCGCTTTGCTCTCAGGTCTGACGCATTCCCCATCGACAATACACGCTACTCCGAACCCATGGAAGTAGATCATGTCGGACCACAACGTCGATGCTCTCATTGCAATCGTTTTGGCCATTGATCAAATGACTGCCATTCTAACCAGCGTCCACGTGGTCATGTCAATACCTTTTCAACAAATGCCACGGATCATCATGCTCCCACACGCTCTTTTCACTCTAATCAAAGAGTGTCTACTTTTCCAAATCCACATCGGTCAATCGTGTGTTGGACTTGTAATAACCCAGGGCACAGCAGCCGCAACTGTTCATTTAAACCGTCATTCCAACAGCAATACTCCCGCCCAACGTTTAATCAAAAAGGTCGCTCCTAGTACCCAAGTCAACCTTTAAACTAAAAAGCTCTTTTCATGTTGAAGCTAATGAAAAGAGCTCATCCAATAATATGCCAATTTTCAATTTAAATTTATCCCAAAATCCAAGTTCTTGTCTTCTTAAACTGAGTAAACAACGTTATCGCTCACTTATTGATAGTGGTGCCGATTGCAGTATCATCAATCATAACGTTTATACTAAACTTCCAAATAAGCCTTCCTTGCTTCAGACGGACATTGGATTGCAATCTGTTAACGGCGGATCTTTAGTCACTCATGGGTATATTAATTTGTCTTTTCGGCTAGGCAATACGGCGCTAACCCGCAAATTTTTATTTTGGTTCAAATATAAATAGAAATTTTATTCTAGGACGTGATTGACTGCTATACACGGTGTTCGATTGTACTATGATTTAGGTTGTTTACGTGTTAACAACGAGTATATCCCGTTAGTTCAGGACGCACACATTTCCTCTATCCTACGCTTAACAACTCCTGTTAAAATCAAACCTCAACAATCAGTAATGTGTGCCGCTAGAGTCAAAAGTGTCGCCAATTTAACAATTTCGAGTTTGTATGTAATTACTCCCGTGGATCAAGGCTTTCTATGCCACCAACCTGGATTAAAATTAAATGTTGCGAAACCTCATAATAAATTTACGCTTGCTTTAACTAACACCACTAATAGGACGTTTTATTTGCGTAAAGGCTGTGTAGTAGGTCGTGTAGAAAATGTTGAATCTAATTCTGTGAATGCGCTCGATGAAATTTCCTCCATTAATTCTCAGCCATCTATGACCAATGATGTTGATAAAATAAATGTCCCGCCTGAACATAGCTCTTTAATGCACGACTTTCTAACTAAAAATCAAGATTTATTTGCAAAGACGGATTTAGAGTTAACCCAAACAGAGACTGCAAGATGAATATCAATACCGGTTCTCACCCACCCATAAAAATGAGACCGTACCGCACTCCTATAAACCAACGCGCCACTGTTGATAATGCACTAGATGAAATGCTCGATGCCAAAGTCATACGTCCCTCTCAATCACCATGGAGTTTTCAAATCGTCATTGTTGGAAAAAGGACGGTTCTAAGCATTTTTGTGTCGATTTCCGAAAGCTCAATCAAATTACAAAACCCAACTCCTACCCCCTGCCATTGATTGACGACATTCTTTCACAGCTTCATAATAAGTCTTATTTTTCCATATTGGATTTAAAGTCTGGATACTGGCAAATCCTGATGACTATTTAGGCTTCATTATTACACCGAATGGTATTAAACCCGATCCCGCAAAAGTAAGTGCCATTAATGATCTTCAGGAACCACGCTCGGTTAAAGACATTCGTAGCTTTATTGGAATGTGCGGTTATTATCGCCGGTTCATTCCGAACTTCTCTCAAATCGCGGAACCTTTAAGAGCGTTAACGAGAAAACGTGTTAAATTTGAATGAAATAGGGTATGTCGTTTAGCGTTTCAGAAACTGAAAGATCATCTTACCTCCATTCCTTTGTTAACTTACCCCGATCCCAATAAACCGTACACTCTTTATACGGATACAAGTAACTATAGTATAGGAGCTTGTTTAGTTCAAACTCAAACAACTGCTGGTGGCAAAGAAATTGAATCCCCTATATATCTCCTTTCGCATAAATTGTCCGACACGCAAACTCGTTGGTCTACTATCGAAAAAGAATGCTATGCCATACATTACGCTCTCCAAAAATATGATTATTACCTGCATGACGCCCAATTCGTGATAAGAACAGATCATAAACCTTTGAAATATATCTTAGATTCGCCTATGCAAAATAAGAAAATTCAACTTTGGGCTCTCTACATTACTGGCTATAATTGCGCTATTGAATATCTTCCAGGAAAACAAAACGTTATAGCCGATTTTCTTAGCCGTATATCCCAAAATCCAAATCCTGCTTCCCCAACGCATGAGGAAGAACCCGATATAAATGATCACACATTCGAAATTAACGCAATAAACTCTAATAGATTTAAAGAATTTGTGAAATGTGAGGTATCCCCTGCATCGTCTGAACAGGAGGACATCACCGTTGAAGGTTGTGACATGCTTTCTGAGCAATCCAAAGATAAAGAAATGTCTAAAATTATCTCCCAGTTAGAAGGCGAAAAGGAAGTCCCCGCCATCCATAACAAATACATTCTCATCAACAATACTCTGCATTACCTTTCGCATGGCGATACCGAACCCACTCCTCGACTCTATGTCTCTGTTCACCTAAAGAACGAAATTCTTAAACAATATCATAACTTATTTCATCTTGGTATCGATAAAACATATAGCATGATTGCAAAAAAATATTACTGGCCCAATTTATCAATATGTCTCAATATGAGTGCGTACCATGTCAAACGCGCTCCCTGCAGAAAATCAAACCACCACTACAGGAAACGGACATTCCCCCTTACCCATTTGCAAAAATATCCCTTGACCTTTCCGGTCCTTATCCTATCTCTCTCTCCGGAAATAAGTATATCATTTCTTTTGTTGACTGGTATAGTGGATGGCCAGAAGCTTTCCCAGTCAAAGATAAATCTGCCGCAAATGTCGCTCATCTCCTTTTAGAAGAAAATTTTCCTCGTTTTGGAACACCCCTTCAATTAGTCACTGAAAACGGAACAGAAAACGAGAACAAAATTATGCACGAAACTTTGGCGGAATTAAACATTAGCCACGTTACTACCTCATACTACCATCCACAGAGTAATGCCAAGGTAGAACGATTTCATCGCACCATCCATGACGTTCTCTCCAAGAAAATGGAAAATAAGCTTGATACTTGGGATTTGTACCTCAACCAAACTTTAGCAGCCGTCCGTTTTAATATTAGTGAATCTTCACGTTTCTCTCCATTTTATCTTTTGTATAATCGCGATGTCGTGCTCCCTATCGATAACCTGTTAAAACCCCGACGGAAATATTTAGGGAAAGATTTTCACAAAATTGCGCTTGAAAATCAACATAAATCCTTTATGTTAGTTCACCAAAACCTAAAGAAAGCTAAACGCCGTCAAGCTAAATACGCCGATACAAACTCCAAATCGGTTAATTTTCAAGTAGGTGATCCAGTTTATGTTAAAAATCACTTGCGCACAAGTTAACTCCAGGGCAAATGGAAACCATACTATAGAATAATAGATCGCCACTTTCATTTATCATAAAAAATCAATTAGACGGCACTACAACTAAATCTCATGCAGAGGATTTGCGTCTAGCCAATATTGAGAATTGGGAGATTCCCAAACCCGACGATGATCATCGTCATCGAAATGCTAATTACGTTGTAACCCCCGAAAGCTCAAGCGATTCTTCCAGTGATGGAAGTGCCACAGAGGATGATGACTTGTTTGATTTAGTAAAGGCATCTCGCCACACTCGTGCTAATTCATCTTCTGAAGATGATATACCTCTTATGGAGTTGGCCAATCGCATTCGCGCTACTCGACCCCTGTCGCCGGAAAATTCTGCGGTCGAAACTATGGAGGTTGATACTCTAGTAAGTTCACAATTACCGATCAGCCCCGTGATTACGTTGTTGTCAAAGGATAATGAATCCCAAACGAATCCTGGCGGTGATGACACTGTTAACTCGGTTTTGATAGACAAGACAAAGGAATCTCAACCTAAGAACACGGATTTGAAAAATTTACTTTCGGGTAGTCTTGGCATGCTCGACAATAATTAAGCTTCATCTGTATTATATTCAATGTAAATAGTTATGACCCATTTTAGTCCCATTTTTATGTATGTTGAGTTGATTATTAATATGATCTTATTTTTTTTATAATAGGAAGATGAGAAATTCCCTTCTTTTTGCATTTATACTGTTTGGCTTGAGCGACAGTTTTCATATTTATGAAAATGTCATCTTTCGACCTATAAGCGAGTTTAGTTTGTCACGATCACGCTGGCTGGTAACATTTGTTAACCCTCCCAAAGTTTCATCTCCTCTCTTAAGACGGACGCGCCCAAGGCATTTTCCTCATTATATAAAGTTATTCATAATTATTCAACCCAAACCGAAGATATCTTCTTTACCAAATTATTATCCGTTAATTTGCAACAAATTCGTATTGTCCACAAGCAGTATGACGACTTGATACTTCGTGCCTCGCAATACACTTTATTGCATAGCAAGCGACCTCGTCGAGCACTTCTGCCCATTGTGGGCAAAGCTTTAAGTTTTCTATTCGGCACGGTTTCCAAATCAGATTTACATGTTATTAATGTTAATATAAATAGACTAGCTGCGAAACAAAGCGATATTATCCATGTCCTTGATAAAAGTCTTTCTATTCTAAATACTTCAAAAATAGAAATTGCCAAGAATAGAGCGTCAATTAACGCATTAGTTTACAATTTAAAATCTTTCGAAACCCATGTTGATAGCCTCTTAACTAATATTACTCAAGAAGTTAACAAGATCAAAGGATTTCTCCAATAATCATATAAAATTAACTAAACCGAATTGCAAAATCTTGTTGTTCAGGGACTACACTATTTCGACCACCTACAATTAAATATGTTATCTCTTGGGCATATTTCTCCGAGTACAATTTCGCCCACTGACCTTAAGTCGTTGTTAGCTACGATTAGTTCACACTTACCCAATTCAGTTCATTTACCTGTGGATCCAGTCGTTGACCTTTGGAAGTATTACAAATTTTTAACATGTTCTGCGGTGTTATCGTCGGATACTTTATTGATAATATTTAATATACCCTTACTTGACTCTAATCGTAAACTCCAAATCTTTCAAGCTCATAATTTACCTATCCCATTTAATTCGAAACGCGTTACTAATGATACGAATGACCTTAAAACAATGGTTGCGCTATATGAACTTGAAAGTCAATATTGCGCTGTAAACACGGAACGAACGCTATTTGCCCTTTTACAACCGGGCGAAGTTGACCGCTGTTCCTATAAACTTCTTCGTTTTTGTTCTGTTTAGAGTCTTCTTTACCCCATCAATTTAAGTAAACTTTGTATTACGGCCCTTTTCATGAAAAACCATAAGCTAACCAATAAAGTTTGTAATATCACAGTGCAACCAAAAACAGTCTTTCCCAAAGCTACTTATTTAGTAGACGGTGTCTGGGCTATCGCTATCCGTGAACCCCTTCATTTCTCGTTATATAACCAGAAATTGTTCAATAACGATTTTCAAATTACGGCTCACCCACCCCTCGAGCTAATCAAGTTAAACATGACATGTTCCGCTTCCAATGCACTCCTTACTCTTTCGCCTTATTTTCAAAAGAAAGTCGTTTTCATTCACAGCAATCATTTCAGAGTCTCAAAACTCGTTTCAAATTATCACGCATCCATTTATGGCAACCATTGCGCTCTGCTTTTCCTAATACTTCCATCCCTTCCCTGCCGGACCGTCTTCGCGATATAAAACAAATACCTATTACCTCCCTCATTTCCACATTACATAAAACTCATGATGTATTAGTAGAGGACAAACCATGGCCCCATTGGCATTTTTTATCAACAGGGATAGGGCTTTTCATTGGGAGTATTTTTATCATATCGTGTATCGTACTATGTGTCCGATCTAAACTCCACCACTCAGCCAAACGGTATAAGAACAAAGAAGGTGACTCTATCCAGTATGAAGTCATACGAAAGAGGGTGTCAGCTAAAGCTGTTAGCGGACATACGCAAAATAGGGAGAACACTACCCCAACACCCTTGATAATAGAAGAGGAAATGGTTAAAGAAGGAATGGTGAAACATATTTATCCCACACTCCAGTTAGCCACAGAAAACACACAATAAAGCTTCGCAGTGTACCAGCAGTCCAGATCTTTTCATGGTCATATTTACCAATAGTTCAGATGGTACTACTTATCAACGGTATATTTAACTTACCAAAGTTCCAGATATTTGAATGGTATTACTTATCAACGGTATATTTTACTTACCAAAGTTCAAGATATTTGAATGGTATTACTTATCAACGGTATATTTAACTTACCAAAGTTCCAGATATTTGAATGGTATTACTTATCAACAGTATATTTTACTTACTAAACTTCCAGCCTTGGATGGTTATACTTCGCCATATTTCTGGTGTACACTTTAGTTTTAAATTCAGTGTTCTTATGATTATGACGTGTCGCCTCAATAATGATTTGGAATTTATTATTTATCATTGATGTGTGTCTCGCGTTACCGATTCAAAATTTAGTGAATGTGGAGTTCATTATTCTCAGTGTGTACATACGAACAGTACAGTTAAGGTTTTTTCTTTTCTTCTTAAAACCTTGTGTATATACATTAACTCATACTTGAACAATTATTCTATTGACTGTTCAGACCGCATGTTCCAAGTGATTTTTCTTTTTATATTTTGTTACCGTCTTAGTTATTTCTTTTATATAATTTTTAATGTTTTGTTAATTTAAGCTGTAATACAGCTTAAATTTATAAAGAAAGGGAGGAATTGTTACACAATGTATCATTAGGATGGATAAGGGCAGGTGCTAATAGTTTACATTGAAAGCCAATTAATACCTTGATCAAACTTCTATTGTCTAAAGTTATTAAAACCTTGCGGCCCTGACACTTATCCCTCTTTGTTCTAAGCGCAGCTAAATTAACTTATACAAACAAGATTATACTTTGTTTCTGGGACAAGGACATGTCGGCGTTCTCATTGTCAGAGACCTAGCCAATCAGCAACCAACATGCAAGAAGTCCTATCCGCCAATCAGATTTCTAGATTAGGCTTTAACAAATCAGAAATGAGGATTATCCTTATGCTGAAATATTTATATTTGGTTTTAACCAATCAGAAAGAAGGATGATCCTCATGCTGAAAGAGACCGGCAAAAGATCACGTTGATGATCAGTTCCCAAATTGACAGCTAGGAAGGTGGTTTGTCCTCTTGATCACACGACCAAGATAACCTAGATGTTGTAACCTATGAGTTAGATGTTGTAACCTATTAGTTAGATATATAGACACAGCTTTATGGAACAACAATCACTGGTTAAAGTTTTATGCAACGTTTCGACGTGTTTCCCCCCGTCGTCCTCAGGCACATAATGAGAAGAAGTGATGGGCAAACTATATATACATTAATGCTTATTATTAAGAACACACAAGAGATAAATGGTTTATTGATACATTACATTAAATTTTAACAAGTACAATAAGAGGTACATAATTCTTAAAATAACATACAGGCTGATTAAGTAAAATAATTGAAGTAAAGTAAATGAATTAAAAAAGAGTAATTGAATATTAACTAAACAACTATTGCTGGTATTGGAGTCTTTTATTAATAGAAATTACATTGTTCATATAACTAACTATGCTTAAAGTTGGAAATTGTTTGAATATGAATAATTACAAGTTGATAAGTTTATCATATGCATGCGATAAACGAACACCTTCATCTCTGTTAAGGTCTGATATCTTCTGATGTGGATAGGTTCATGAAGTCTCCTGGTGTTATCTATGTGCTTATTGATTGTCAGTATGTTGGTGTTGTCAAAGTTGACTTTATGTCCTGTTTTCCTTCCCATAGCAAGATGTTCAGCCACAGCAGATGTTCCTTCATTGCCGGGCTTGTCTTGATGGTCTTTGAGTCGAACATCAAGGAGTCTCTTGGCAGGTATTCAGAAATCCATTATAAAAGCTTCAGCTGTGGATGCTATTGCACTTTTAGGAAATGCCTCACAGGACTTGTCCTACAAAAGAAGGGATTTGATAAAGCCTTACCTTAATAAAGAATTTAGTTCTGTATGTTCAAAGAGTGTTCCTATTACAGGTACTCAATTGTTTGGCGAGGATCTTCCAAAATCTTTGTCTGCAATAAAAGAAACCAATAAACTTGGTAAGCAGGTCCAAAGTCGTAAGCCTGAACCACAGAGGTCATCTTACAGCAATAAATCCTATGACAGGTATAGTAATAGTCATTTTTTTTAGACAAACCGAAATACAACAATTATCATCAAAAAGAAAAATACAAAAACCAGAAGTCATCATACCAGTACAAGAAAAAACAAACGAAAGAAAAGTAATGGAAACCAAGTCACCCTTAAAACTAGATGTTTTTAAGGTGAGTGATTTTGATAAATATTGTTTTAATCTTTTGGCTGAATTACATGCAGAAGTTCAAAATTTTCAAGCAGGTTGTCTTCATAAATATCTTGCGCTTTGGCAAAGTATGACATCTGATTAAGAGATTATTGAAATGGTGAAAGGTACAAAAATAAATTTTCAATCACCATTACCTCAGCAACATAAAGCACCACATAATGTATTTGGCGCTCATGATATTCATAGCAAAGGTGTTCTTCAAGAATGTAATGCTGAAGATCATGATTCTCTTTCGCCAATTTTTCTTAGAGGAAAGCCAGACGGTACATATAGAATGATATTAAACTTGAAAAAATTGAATCTATGTATCGAATATAATCATTTTAAAATGGATACTATAGACAATGTCATAAAATTGATAGAGAAAGATTGTTACATGAGTTCTATAGATCCCTCGTGTCAAAAAATACCTAAAATTTTTCTGGAAAAATAAATATTACTGCTTTACATGTTTTCTAAATGGGCTATGCTTTTGTCCCAGAAAATTTACAAAGTTACTAAAACCTCCTTTGTCCTTCTTAAGATCTGCCGGACATGTGTCATCTGCCTATATAGATGATATATTTCTAATGGGTGAAAGTTATGACAAATGTTGTGCTAATGTAGTAGCAACTGTTGACATTTTTAGGAAATTAGGATTTGTGATACATCCAGTTAAATCCACCTTGAAACCATCCAAATCTATAATTTTTTTATTCCTCTACAATGACTATGCGTCTAACTGATGTAAAAAAAGACAAAACTAAGACAAGCTTGTTTAGAATTACTTAATTATAACAATCTTGGGAAGCTTACTTTTAGATTTTTAGCGAAAGTTATTGGTTTGATAGTATCAAGTTTTCCTGGTGTTATGTATGGCCCACTTTTCTATAGATCACTTGATAAAGATAAAAGTTCCAGTCTCCTGGTATCTAAGGGCAATTTTGACTCTCAGATGCAATTACACATCAGTGCAATACTGGAAACTCAGTGGTGGGTGGACAATGTTATGAACACATACAATTCGCTTCAAAGAGAACCCCCAACAATTACTATGACAACAGATGCCTCACTATCTGGCTGGGGAGCCACACTAGAGGATAAATCTATTGGGGGTGAATGACGTAAATTAGAAAGAACTTTTCACATAAACTATTTAGAAACCTTAGCTGTTTTCTTATCTCTTAAAAGTTTTAAGAAGTACCTTGTTTCCTCCCATATTAAAGTTTTAGTTGACAATATTACTGCTGTGGCAACATTACAGCATATGGGCTCAAGTCACTCACAATTATGCAATGATATTTCAAAAGAAATTTGGTTATGATGCAAAGAGAATTAATCTGGTTAACCATAGCTGATATTCCTGGTATATCAAACATAGAAGCTGACAAACAGTCTAGGAAGTGTCGGACAAACACTGAGTGGATGCTTAATAAACAATCACTACAAAGGGCATTAGCAATCCTTGATGTGTTTCCAGATATTGACCTATTTGCATCTAGACTAAATTTTCAGTTCTCTTCTTACATATCTTATGAATGTGACCCTTCTTGTTGTGCTGTTAATGCATTTTCTGTATCATGGTCAACATATAAATTCTATGCTTTTCCTCCTTTCAGCATAGTTCAAATGGTTCTACAAAAAATAATTCAAGAAAAAGCCATAGGAATATTAGTTGTACCAAATTGGAAGACACAATCATGGTACCCAAAGTTAACAAAATTGCTGATACAACCACCAGTTTTTTTACAGTTGTCAAAGCATCTACTAAGTTCTTCAACCAGTCTGCATCATCCGCCTCACAAAACTCTTTGTCTGCTGATTTGCCATGTCTCAGGAAACAAACAACTAACAGCATCCTTTCAACATCAGCTTCAAGCATCATCTTACAATCTTGGAGAAATAAAACTCAAGTTCAATACTCAACACATATAACTAAATGGAACAATTTTTGTCATAATCCAGGAATTAATCCGTTAATACCTAGTGTTGAAGATGGTGTAAATTTTCTTGCAACTTTAGTTGATGCAAAACTATCTTATAGTACTGTCAATAATGCTCGAAGTGCTCTCTCAGCTATTCTACCACACATATCAAATGTTCATTTTGGACAACACCCCCTTGTGAAAAGATTTCTAAGAGGTGCGTTTAACGCAAACCCTCCTAAACCAAGATACCATGAAGTATGGGATGTGAACCTTGTGATGACTTTTTTGAGTAATTTCTCACCATTTACAATGTTAACTTTAATAGAATTAACATTGAAACTGGTCACTTTATTGGCCTTATTTACTGCCCAAAGGACACAAACACTTCAATTCTTAGATATTAAGGACATGAAAGTCAGTGACTCGAAATACATATTTTGTGTATCAAGACTAATCAAACAATCTCGCCCTGGGTTTCATTTAAAACCATTCTGCCCTAAAAAGGTAAAAGACAGTATCTGCAATTTTGACGAAAATGAGTTATGGGTAACATTATGACCAGCAGATACTGTTCTGTGATATAAAATAATGTATATATGAAGAATAAGAAGAGTTATTGGCTGTAAAATTCAACAGTATCTACATTTTATGCAGAGTTACAAAGTTAAAAAGCAGTAAATGGTAGATACTGTCCTCTCCCTCCCTTTCTTAGTAAGTTACTGCCTTTCTCTGCCAAACTAGTTCCAATTTCATATAGAGGTTGTGAGATACTGCTGCACAAGGTGGATAAAAACAGCATGGATAGCTTATCTAGAGGGAAACAAATTTTCAATTTATCGCTTAAAAACAACTTATCTGATTCTAAAGAATGTGCACAATTAAAAAATGATGTGGCAGAACCTGAAATGGACCAGAATTGTCTGCTTGAATTATTTCCTGAGGTATTAAATTCTGCAGTGCAAGAACACAACAATGAGCCTTCAAGAATAATTCAGAATCTTTATGCAGACATGGTGGCACCAACAACACCAACAAGAATCTTTCTAGGATCTCCAGATGATCTTTTGGAAGTGATAATAGATACTGGTACACATAGAGACTATGATTATGGTGTAGATGATAATGAAGAATTTCAAAATTCTAATGCTGACGATGTTAATGAAGATCCGGATTATGAACCTGACAAAGACGAAACCACGACAGATGGGCGATTAGATGACAGAATAAAACAACCTAGTACCAAAAAACACAAACCGAACCTTGAGAGCGACCATGCAATAAGAGAACCCTGTAAAAATTGCAAAAGAAATTGTTTAGATAAAATTGATGAAAAACGTAGGAAAGAAATTTGGGAAGCATATTGGAAACTTAATTACAATGGGAGAAGACAGTATTTGTTCAATAATGTACATAGAAACGAGAAGCGTCGACAGACGACTCAAGCTCCAAGTAGAAGAAAACTCAGCTATGAATATTTTCTAAAGGATGAACATGGTACAGCTCAAGTTGTTTGCAAGGTTTTCTTCCTTTGTACATTAGGTTATCATCCAAAAAATGATAAAATGATTAACACAGTCATGAAGCTCACCAGGCCTTCAGATATTTCACCCCCACCAGACAAACGTGGGATGCAAGAGCCACCCAATAAGATTAACAGAGAACCAATAAAGGCCCATATTGAGTCGTTCAATCCCTGTATCAGTCATTATAGGAGGGCTCACGCCCCAAACAGAAGATATCTACCGAGTGATGTTTCAATTCGTATGATGTATGATGATTTTAAATCAACTGCTGTTCAAAAATGCAGCTATGATACATATAGACAGCTTATCCAAGATATGAAGATCAGTTTCACTAAATTGGGTGAAGAAGAATGTGAGGTATGTCTCCAACATGAGCTACATGTCAAATCAGACCACGCTGATCTTACTGATGGCGTTACCTGTGACAGATGCAGTACCTGGAAGAGACATAACGAGGCAGCTGCATCAGCTAGAGTACACTATCAAACTGATGCATCTAATGCAGATGCAAACATATTGATAAGAAGTGTTGATCTTCAAAAGGTTATTATGCTACCTCTTATGCCAGGTAACAAAACCGCAATTTTTACGAAACGCATCATTGCTTTTAATGAAACGTTCGCTGCAGTTGGTAAGCAATCAAAGAAACCATCACACATTAGAGAGAGATCTTTGGCTGTTTTATGGCACGAGGGAATAGGTGGTAGGCAGGGCAAATAAATTGCCTCCGCTTTTGTGAAAGCTTTGAAGGAGATGCGAGATGCAGAGCATATTGTACTGTGGCTGGACAACTGTGTTGCTCAAAACAAGAATTGGTACCTCATTTCTGCCTTATTAACTTTGGTTAACAATAATGATGTTTAAGCTCAAGACGTAACATTGAAGTATTTTGAAACAGGACATACATTTATGTCTGCTGACTCTGTCCATCATCAGGTAGAGCAGCAAATGAATCGTCAACAAGGTGGCAAAGTATTAGATTTTTCAGATTTTGTAGATGTTGTATCAAGGTGTTCTAATGTAGAAGGTTTACAGATGTCAAATATTGATTTTCGTGATTGGAGTCCTATCCATTCTGCAGCCAAGATGAAGAAATCTGGAATTAAGTTGACCCAAATGGTTGAAATAAAAGTGAAGCGTGGGTCGAAAACTTTGTCCTACACATTGAACCATGATGATCTCGAGTTCATTGAATTGGGCTTCACAAAAAAGGAGCAATGTTGGTGTTTCCTAAGAGACTGCGCCAGAAGAACAGAGGAATACCCCTTGAGAAGAAAACTGATATTGTTGAAAAGTTGTGCCCCATGATGCCTACAAATCGACGTATATTTTGGACCAGTATTGACATTGATAAAAACTGTGAAGATCTTTTCAATGAATCTACAGAAAAATATGAAGATTAATTTCCATAAAATCATCTTGTTTCAGTATTGTATTTGATGAAAAAATGTTCTTTATGTTGTTTGTTTTTCTGTATGATTTACCAGTATGATAAATTAGCTTATACGGCTTCTCAACACACTTTTAGACATATTTCATTCCTATCAATAACACTTTCCAGGACTAAAAGTACTAACAATAGAAATAAAACCTTCAGGGGTGGTGTATTATCTAAAATTGTTAAAGATGGGTTCCCTTATTAATTAATTCATAATTAGCTAAATTATAGAGAATTTCCAGCAAAAATCCAATGAGTGACCGATCAAGAAAGGTCAAAAAGGTCTTTTTTCTTTATCCAGATGTACATACATGGACATTTATGATTGGTTAAAAGTGTTAATTATATACAAAGAGAACATAATGATATGATTAAGAATACATGATAATTCATTAGAAACACCAATTAACCAAATAATTTGCTTAATTTGACACTAGAAATAAGGAAACCCATCTTTTATTATAATAGTCCAATTTCTCGCTTTACCTATTGTTCCAGTAACCCTTTTCAGAATGCAAATTCGGCTTATTGTTTCTTTTTAAACTGTTATATTGTCATAATTATATTGTGCGATACCACAAAATGTGAGATACTGTCATTTACCTTCGTATGGTAAGTAATGGTCAAAAGTATTGTCAAGCATGTTGAGGGCAGTATCTGACATTACCACAGACATGACACAGATATCAATATCATGATAGAACATTTCAATTCGGGGTGATTATTGGTTGTATCTACCAAAATTTAGTAACAGTCATAACATTAATTTGGAAGTGGGAAGATCTCAAACTTCAAACCTCGATTTTTCTCAAAACGCCATTTTTGCAGATACTGTCTTTCACCTTTTTAGGGCAGCATTGGAGTTTGCTAAGAATTCTACAAATTCTAGCTTGTGTATGTATTCATTAATAACTGAATATATAAATAGAACTAAAAACTTAAGAGGTGACCATACTCAATTTTTAATTAGTTTTACCAAACCACATAAGCCAGCTTCAACAGACACTATTTTGCGGTGGATTAGATCCATATTAAAACAAGCTGGTGCTGATATATATAGTACTCACAGCACCAGGTCTGCTGTAACTTCAAAACTTGCTCAAAATAATGTTCCACTTGATGTTATACTCCAATCTGCTGGTTGGAGTAATGCTTCCACATTTAACAGATTTTATTTCAAACCTGTTAGTGAACTAAGTGCCAAAGACACCACTTTACAAAGTTTTTTGTGTTAATCTTTATATTCATTTTTCACAACTTTAAAGATTTTTTCTTATTTGATTATCTTTATTATTTAACTGATTAATGGGTTCATTCAGATATTTTTATATTCAGGAAGAATATTAACTAATGTTTGTTACAATTTATTGTATTGTTATTCCTTGTTGAAGTTTACATTGTTGACATATTGTTAAAGATTTACAATAATAAATATATATTGACATGTATACTCTGATTGCTATACTTGACCAACTACTGTGATATGCTTTGAAATCTCACGTGGTTTCCGGAGTGACGTAGCAATAGTGTGAAGTAGAAATTTAAAAATTAAAGAGCTTACATTCGGGAAGTGATGTTTAATTATAATTCTACGAACTATTGCAGGAACGGAGGAATTCATGTGCCCACCCAAAACGGGTACCCTCCAAAAATAATCCGTTCCGGCAAATAGTTATATCCCAGTTGTTGATTATTTAAAGACTGACTGCGCATGCCTTATCTCACATGAATTCCTCCGTTCCTGCAATAGTTCGTAGAATTATAATTAAACATCACTTCCCGAAGGTAAGCTCGTTTGATTTTTAAATTGAAAGCTGCAGTGCCAGCTTAAAATAGCGCAAATGAAAATGAATTACTATTAAACCATATTTTGAAACCTGTCCAAACACCCATGGGCTATAATTTCCACAAGCAATACCGTTATTACCTTTTTGACAAGAAATTAAGTAACGTATTCAGGTTTTGTTTGTAAACATCACATCCCAGAGGGTATCCCACAACGTAGGTCAAATAAGGTCAAATTTAGAAATATTATGAATTATTGACGGACCATTTTAACACCGTCTTATTGCGCAATGGGTGTGGTACTTTATAATCGGTACTCCAATCAAACCAGTACACGAAATAGTTTGTAATAAAATGAATGATGATGATATCACTATGCCAAGCCCGCCGTGCAATATTGAAAATCTATAGACACTTAATTGCGGTTGAACCATTATATTGAATGTTGAAAAGGACAATCTGTTGCTAGGAAAAATAATTTAAATTTAATATACAGATCTTGTCTCTGTTATTAGTCCGAAACATTTGCCTCTATTCGAGCCTCTGATGGGTATATCTGGGTTTTGCAGTTCCGAGGTATCTGAATAGGTTTAAAACCCCTGCACCCGCAGAGATGTGGAAATTTTTCCTTTTATCAGGGCTTATTTTTTCTGTCTCTACACCAGCTGACACCTGTCCAAATAGCTATCAGAGGCTCATACAGAGACAGATGTTTAGGTCTATGCTGTAATGTAAAGTAAATCATTTATAATTTGAAAGTCGTGTTTCAATTTTTTAAACTGAACATGAATACACAGTAATGCAGTTAGGTAAACGGAAATGTAACATGTGTGTCAACTTCAACTCAACTTTTTTATTTTGTCAGGTGGGCAGTATGAAGCATCCATTTGGAATGTCGGGTTTGCAATAAGGCTCATGCAATAAATGTGAAAGTTATGATTCAACTCTTAAATGTAATAAATGATAAGTCCTGCTTCAACTTTCCGTCTCTGAATTGTGCTTTCAAGATTATTTACAAGCTAAAATTTGAATTTGTTTTTAAAACGAGGGCAATACCTCTCATATTGGGTTCATCCTTCAATTATAAGAAACAATTAGGCTACACCAATGAGCACACGAATACGATAAATTCTTAATGGTTTGTAAAGTTTATCAAAATTACAGGAAACAGGATGAATAGCAGGGGAAAGGTATACATAAATTGCCAATATATCTATCAAACATCAACTTTATGAGTATGAATGTACATGAGTGTGTCGTATGATAAAATGAAATATACATATACAAATTTCTGTCAGTACATACATAAATCAATTTATAGATGATAAAATACTAAGGTGAAAATACATCATGATATGCTGTAAATAATATGTAAATAATTTACCACAGATGTAAATAAAACAGATGTAACACAATGAAAACTAGAACCGTCGACTGTGCTTATGCAGTGCGTATTCTAGGTGATATATCGGTGAAACGTTGCATTTTACAGTCACAGTGAGACTTCTTACTGAAAAAAAAGCTTGTGGACATTCGGTAGTAAAAGATAGAGGACCACAGACATATACGCCCACAACGGCATGCGGATGGTAAATATTCAAGATTTTGGGGCAAGGGCAATAACTCTGCATCTAACGGTCGAAAATAGCTCAAATTCGGACTTCGTTTTATGAAAATTTATACACATACCGCATTTCATTTGATTCCATCAAAAAATCTAGTTTTTAGAGCGTTTACACACGGACGGACCGACGGACGGACAGGGGTGCCAGATATACGTCCACATAGAGAGAAGTCATTTCCGGTTAGGTGAAAATGCCTCATTTTATATTTAAACAACAACGACACGCACTTTATGACACATAATGATGACAGTTAATGTGTGACATATGCAGTTTTGGCTGTGCGCTCTTACCAGAATCGGAAAAAAAAACTATAAAACCATTTGGGAGATAACTCTAGAAAACATTTGTCCATGTAATCAATTTACGGCTTACGGTACTTGTATGACAACTAAATCTTACAGCCAAATCCTCGTCTAAAAGTAGACAGTTTAAACGATATAAAAACATAAAAAGCTCTTCAATCAATAACATGTTTCGTTGACAACCTGTTAAAGATACATTGATATTGTTTGAAACTTTATAATAATATCTAGTCATAGATGCTGCAGCTGGCTTAATATAATCAAACAAGTGGTTGCCTAGCATTTTTTTTACCGTATGAAATACATTTAATAACCTTAGTACAATCAAGTTGGATATCTACTTACACATTCAAATTTAACCTGAATTTCATATGTGATTTTTTTATTTATACATAACTCACTCGAAGTTAAACACACACAATCAGTTAAAAATGCATATTATATATCAGTTATCAGTCATTACAAATTACATTTTGAATAATTCTAGCTTTGTTCTACATGTGACTCTATGTCGATGGTCCTCCACGACTTGGTATAAGTCTTGGCGATTCTATTCATCACTGGTCATGT